AGCAGCCGTCTCTGCCCCCCTGCTCTGGCCCATGGGGGCACCCTGGGATGCGGGGATCGGGGCCCTGGGCAGCACGGGGGTACAAGGGGCCTGAAGCCAGGACTCACCAGGTGGCTGTGGCCGTGCTTGGAGCGCAGCATGTGTGCGACGCGGGCCAGGTTGGCGCGGAAAGTGCCCTCGTCGTCGGCGCGGGGGTAGCACACGGCAAGGACACGCTCCGTCACGTACAGCAGGTCCAGCTCGCAGCACTCCGCCATGGCATCCGGCGTGCTCAGGCTCCTGTGGGGGGGGGCAGCACAGCATGCCTGTGACCCCCCCTCCCCAGGCACAGCACCCCCCCGTGGCACCCATAGCCTGCCCCCTACATGGCGCTATGGGGAAACTGAGGCATGGGGGAGGTGAAGTGACAAGGCCAGGGACACTCAGTTGATCAGTGGCAGAGCCAAGCACCTACCCCCCAGGTCTCCCGAATCCCAGCCTGGTGCATTACCTGCAGGCCTCTCCCACCCCACAGAGCACCCCCAGGGAGGTGCCTGTGCCCATGGTGCAGGGGCAATACCGGGGCGGGGTGGTGGGGGATGTGCTGTACCTGGAAGTCCTGCGGCGCGGCTGGGTGCTCCGGGGGGACTTTGTTGAGTCCTGAAAGGAGACAAAGAAGTTACCCCCTGGGCACCCACCTGCCCCCCCCAGCTCAGACCCAGGCCATCACCACACCCCAGGGTCCCATCCCAACCCCTCCGGACATGGCCTGGTCTGACCTGGTCCTGACACCACCCCCAACACACTGAGCACCCCCGGCCCTGCTGCTGCCAGGGGGGTGGTGGGCTCTGGAGAGAGCCCATGCCCAGGCCGTGCCCCTGCTGCAGAGAGAAGGGAAACCGCCCCCCCGGCCAGGCCAGGCTGTGCAAGGGGCAAATCCCTGCCTGCCCCCCCAGGCAGCATGAGCAGGGGGGTCAAGAGCCTGTAGCCAGGACCCTGCGGGCCTGAGTCCCAGCAGAAGCACCTAGTGCCTCTGGAGGGGGCTTGAAAACCCCCTGATGCATACAGCTAAACTAAAGCTGAAACCCTAGCTGCTGATGGAGATGGGTCCTGTGAAAGCTAGAGAGTCCCTGAGGCTGTGCAATGAGAGAGAGACCGGGAGCAGCCAGCACAGAGCAACAGGGGCCTGAGGCCGTTGAAAAGGAGAGAGGTGGGTTCACTCCTCTGGAGTGAAGAACAATTGGTCCTTCAATCAATTGGGGTGACAGGGGAACTGCATGGTATATGCAAGAAATTATGGTAGCAGCATGCAATGCGGTCCAGGCCCCCCCCCTCCGCCCCCACCAAGGCTGCA